GAGGCAGAGATGATGACGTGGAGCGATGGAGCAGCTGGAGACTTTAGATCCAGAGAGGGAGAGCGACTGTGTGCTGAAGACCTGGGGGGTACGGGAAGAAGGATTGCATGGAGGAGATTGTAACCATGGCAATGAGACAATATAAGATAGAATGAATGTAAAACCAATGTTCTCCCATGTAAACTATCACATAATTCACAATAAAACATTAAAAAAAAAAGTGAAGGCAAAACAAACATTTTTGCAGACAGACAAAAACTGAGAGAATCTGTTGCTGACAAACCTGCGCTACAAGAAATAAGAAGAGCGGTTCTGCAGCTGGAAACTGGAGTCTATACAAAGGGATCCAGAATATCAGAAATGGCAAAAACGTGGGAAATATGAAATACTTCTACCTCCTTATTTGTAAATCTTTGAAAAGTAACTGACCCTAACAAGGTAGCGTGTGTGTGTGTGTGTGTGTGTGTGTGTGTTTCTAACATATGTAGAATCAAAACAGATGACAACAGCAGCACAGAGCACGGGAGGGGAATGGGAGGGGACTGCTGTAAGATTCTACTGTCAGACCCATCCCAGACTACCGAAGTTAAGCATTCTGTTGGTGGAGCTTACGAATCGGGGTTTTTAAAACGTATCCTACAGGAGACTCTGATGCACACACCTCATAAACCAAAACTCTACTGCCATTGACTAGAAACCCTTGATAGGCTTTCCAAGACCCACTGACTTCATGGTTAGCAGCCCAATGCAAATGGTGGCGATCAAATGCAAAAAAACAAAATAAAAATACTTAATTCAAAAGAAGAGAAGAAGGAAAATATGAACAGATGGGACAAGTTAAAAACAAATAGCAACATGACAGACTGAAACGCAAACCATAGATATAAAATTATATGCAAACAGACTAAACATGCCGATGAAAAGGCATAGACTATCAGCCTTTATTTAAAACTGCAGACTCAGCTATATGCTGTCTAGAAGCAACTGTAAACATAAAGACTTTAAATAAGGGACGGACAAGAAATCATCTAAATACTGTCAAAACAAGGGGTGACTGTGGCTCAGGATGCTGGAAGAGTGTGCCTAGCTTCAGAGAAGATGTAGAAAGATGCACCAAACTGAATTGAAAACCCAAAAACAGTAGAGGAAGGGCAGAAGGCAGCTAAGTATACAAGGAGATTTCTGTTGTTGTTGTTACGTGCCATGGAGTCGGTTCCGACTCATAGCAACCCTGCATAGGGTTTCCGAGGCTATATATCTTTACGAGAGCAGAAAGCCTCATCTTTCTCCCACGAAACAGCTGGTAGTTTCGGACTGCTGACCGTGACATTAGCAGCCCGATTTGTAACCACTAACACTACCAGAGATTTGTTAGAGGAGTTCAATATAAATGAAAACAAGCACCCCTCCCTCCCCCCCAAAACCAAACCAAACCCAACACAGACCTATAGCTAAAACCAAAACACATAGCCATACCCCAATGGCCCCACACTGGGACCGAGTCAAGACCCTTTAGTAACAGGATGAATTCCTTCAGTATTCAGCAAAGAGTAAGACTTTTAAAAGATTTGAGTAGACTTTGGGTAAGAAAGATGCTCAGGAGGAAACTGAGAGCAGTCCTACAATCTGGGCAGTGCTGGGGGGTGGGGAGGGGGGAGTCGTGGCCAGGGCCCCAAGTCCATCTGCACTCATCCCCATCTTTCACTGGCACGTCCCCCATGTGTGAGGCCCCCGCAGGCACTGAGTTAAGTAGCCAGGCCCTGGTAAACACATGACATCAGGGGTGACTTGATTTCTAATAAAAAAAAAAAACCCCAAAAAAACTGGTCATGTGTCATGTACGGAATTCATTTTTGAAAATTCACTTCCAACTGACATTCATGTTTTGCTGCTATGAAAGAGAGGGGAAACCAGTCTCGAGGACCCTCTTCTCACTGCCCTGACACCAAAGGCCAAAGGTCTTAACTGGCCTACAAAGCCCTGGTCTAGCCCACCCACCTCATCGTACCCCACTCACCACCACATGGGTCTTCAGTCCTAGGCATGCCAAAGCTATGCTCCTCAGGACCCCTGCCGACACCTTCAAGTCATTTCCACTCTCCAGTCCCGGAAACTAGTCCTACAAAAGCTCCTGTTTTTTACTGACTCCTCATGGGAAGACTGTCTGTCCCATCACACCAGGGGCTGGGTTTTTTTCTTGTTTTAAAAGTGCCATGCAGTTAGTTTGGGCTCATAGCAACCCTGTACAGGGTTTCCGTGGAGTGGCTGCTGGGTTTGAACCACCGAACTGTGAGCAGTCCAGTGCTTATCTTACAGCGCCCCACCAGGACTCCCTTTCTTTCTTGGTCACCTCAGAATCCCAGCATCTACAGCAGCTCCTAGTGGTTACGAATCAGGCTGCAAACCTTAAGGTCAGCAGTTCGAAACTACCAGCTGTTCCGCAGGAGAAAAATGAGGCTTTCTGCTCCCATAAAGATTTACAGCCTCGGAAACCCTGTACAGGGTCGCTATGAGTTGGAACTGACTCCACAGCACACAGCCACAACTACCACCACCAGAGCAGCTCCTATCAAGTGGAGTAAGTGTCCACTTACAGAGCACCGTGCTTCTGTCAGTGAATTTCATTTCCAAGTGCCCTGGTGGCACAGTGGTTAAGCACTTGCCGCTAACACCAACCATTCCAAAGGAGAAAGACACATCCAGTAGTCTGCTTTCAGTCTTGGGAACCTGTGGGGCAGGTGCACTGCACTTTGGGTCGTTAGGAGTTAGATAGAGTGGGTTAGCTGATTACCACCTCTATTTCAGGAATCCAGCTCCCAAACTTGGAGAAAATTTAGGCCACCCCAGGGAAGATAAAGAACACGCAACTCTTGAATAGCAGGCTGCAGTCCTGGTGTGGCGCTGTAAGATAAGCACTGGCCTGCTAACCACAGGTTGGAAATCCTATACAGGATTACTATGAGTCAGAACTGACTCGACGGCACTTCACAACAATGCTGGTAGTGAGTGTCGCAGCCTAATGATGCACAGGAGTGTTGGGGGCTGCTTTGAAATCATGTATGTCATCACGGACCCTTGCTGCCAACGGATATATACACCATCTGCTCACACAGTTCTACACCCACGTTCAATTAAGCCAATCCAACTCAAGTGGTCATGTTTAACTGGCATAATTAACTATTGAAATCCTGGGGCCATTATCTCCCAAGCCCCCAATGCATTGAGAATGATCCTTTCCTGGACTTCACCCACCTGCACTTCAGCACCCAGTCACAGAGAGCTCATGAGAAGGTGCTCACAGAGACAAGGCCACGGTGGGCCCTGCTTTCCCAGGAGGCTGACCGGCGCAGGACACTGAGGGTAGAGGTTTAAGGAGCGGCCAGGGCGAGAGATGATCATAAAAGGAGTTAGTGCCCACTAAGGCCCAGGGCCGCTCAAAACAGAAGCCTCCGTACTCCTGGACAACAGCTTGGTTAGACCAGTTCCATTCCGTGTTTCAGAGGCTGGACTTTACGGTGGGGGGATTCATCTGGAGAAGACCCTAGACTCAGGTTCAAAGCAATTCCAGACAGAAAAGGAAAACAGGGGAGCACACCTGACGGACTCAGCGCTTCCATGCTGTGCTTTCACTAGCCGCAAGTCGTGGGAATGGAAGCTGGGAGAGACAGGCCAGCAAAAACCCCAAAGTCAAGACTGCTCTGAGTGAACGCTGCCTGCTTCAACTGGACTCTGAAGTGTGTTTAGACTCGGGACTCCTAGAGACCTGACTGTGCATGCGCAGCATGTGTGGAGGACACAGTGATTGCTGGGATATATGGAGAATCGACACGCAGATCTTAACCCCGCTGCCTGACAGTCTCAGCAATATGCTTTTAGGAAAACAAGAGCCCATCTGAACGTCTTCTTAACAGTTACTACCAGGACATCACTGAAATTTGGGACAGACTTATTTCAATCAAAATCATCCTATGAAAAACCAGAAACTCAAAATGAAAGTAATCATTTTGAGTTAAATGGAAAGAAAAAAAAAAATTAAGGAGTTGAATTCAACCCAGACAAAACCCACCTCCGGTCACACACAGTATTGAGTAACATTAATTAGATGGTCTCTGGGCTAAGGATTCTCCTTAGGAACTTGGGCAGTGAAGGGAGCTCGTGAGTCTGAACGATTCCCACTTGATCTCTGGCATCACAATCATCTCAGTCTCCTTCCAGGGGCCACCCAGACTAGACTTATCTGGCACCTTGAAGGAGGCGGCAAGTTCCTGGGTTCAGAACAGACCGCCAGGTAGCAGAAGTGAGGAGCGAGCACAAGAGGCTAGGTGCGGTTGCGCAGAGGGGTGCCGGCGTACTTGGACTCCTCAGCCCCGAAGTCAGCCACAGCCTAGCTCTTCAGGCACCAAAGCTACTTAGCCAGAAAGGTCTCGAAGGGTCTCTTTTCAGGATTCCTCTCCCAAGAGACCTCGCCCATCACCGTCTAAATCAGATGGGTGTCTTCAGCTCTGTCCCTGTCCCCGTAGTTACTGGGCTCCCCAGTTTCCTCAGCATGTTATCTCTCTCTCACTGTCTCTCGCCTAGTGTCGCTTGCTTGCCCCTTACTCATGGGGCCTTACCAGAGCCCGGGGGCCTTAAGAGCAACAGATAAACTGTAAGCACACACACTTACCCAAAAGAGACACGCAGGGATGACTCATGGTTGCCACAGAACCACCTCCAGCAAGCAGTCAGTCCAGTAGGCACAGCCTCACCTGTTGGAGTGAAATAATGGGGGTAAACAGAAGCCGATTGGCAAACAGCTTCCAGGAACAGGGGTTTTGTGTAGCCAGCACTAGTAGAACTGAAGCACTGAACACAAGGTCGAGGTCAGAGACTCCCCCAGTCATAAGAACACCCCTGGGGGCACCACACCACTGGGCTGGTGTTGGTTTGGGCCTGCAGGCTCTCGCTTGAGTCCACGGTATATGGTGCAAACATGCTGTTACTAGAAGGGGCAGAATCCTAACGGGCTCAAAGAGAGGGTGTTGCACCAGAATATTTGTGTCTGTGTGTGGGGGTGGGACTACATCTATTTCTGTCTTTCCCGCTTTTCCTCTCTCACTTGACCTGGGTACCTGTCTCTCTGTTTTCTTTCCATTGTCCTTCCTTTCTATAAAAAAGCCAGAAGGTAGACCAGAAGGGGATTTAGTAGTGTTTGCTATACTAAATTGAGGAAAAGTTTACATCCTCTTTTCCAGAAAAAAACACGTGGCATCTTACGAAAAACCAAAATACAGTGTAAGGGACCTGAACAGAAAAGCTTCTAAAGCGCCATGCACATCCTGGGCTGAACTGGTGGGTTAGAAACCAGGGCACCAGGTCTGGGATGGGGCCAGGAAATCTGCATTTTCTAACAGCTCCCCCCAGCCAGTCCAGAATCCACAGACCCCCTTTCCCTAGTTCTCATCAGGCAGAGCATGGCCCACCTCGAGTGCGCCAGGCTCCCAGGAAGGGGATTCGTGTGCCTGCAGGTCTTCCCAGGGGGCCCCTCACTGGGAGAAGGCGGGAAAGTACTGCTCAGGAGTCTAAATATAGATACAGTAACAGTTTTTAGGAACGGCCTGTGCAAGCTGCTTCTACTTAAGGGGGGGTGGGGAGGGAGGAGGTATCATCAGTAGTTGGGTGTGTGTTGGGGGGGGGAGCATGAGAATACAACAATCCCATCTGAAATGCTCTAGTAAAGGAAAATTCTAGAGACAGGTTGATGAGGAAATGTTTCACCAAGCAGAGTCGCAGGGACTGGTGGCTAAGCCAGACCAAGGCTGGCTGGCTGGGGGTGGGGGGGCATCAGTTGGAATTGGGTGGGACCTCCAGGAAGAAGGCCAGAATGGGGGGGGGGTGGGGGGGCGACGGAGGTGCTGAAAGGGACCATTGGCTTTAGCAGACAGGCGAGTGGGGGAGATAGAAAACGACACGTAATTAATCACCCAAATATAGACTGGAGGCGGCGGACAAGGAACTTAAGGTGGGGGGGGGGGGGGGCTCTGGAGCTGGAAAAAGGCGGCCCCCAGGATCGCGACAGAAAAAACCCTGTCCAGACAAACGGCCTTGAGGCCGGCGTCACCCAGCAAGGAGTGGACCCCACAACATACAGCTCAGGCTCTAGGCCCCTCCAGCCTCCTTCCAAGCTGAGGCTCGGCCCCTACCACTCAGCCTCCACAGCGCTCCCAGACCCTAACAGGATCCAGTCCCTCGAAGAGCCGCGAAGGCCCCGGCACATCCCCGGCTCTGCAGCGAGGCCTTCGGGTGGTGCCGCCCCCGCCGGCCAGGCCTGGGACCGAGCAACTAGTACTCGCCGGCCCGGAGCG